TCGGCGTTTGACCAAGAGCATCCTAGAAAGGCAAAGAAAATAGGATTATTTCAATGGAAAAAAAAATAAAAATTCTGTGTGTAGCTATCAAAACTCTCAATGTGGTTTATGAGTTCCCTTGCATTAAAATATAAGTAATGTTTTTAATAATAATACTTCAAAGTATTAAATGTTACCAGATTTTCGTTCTCTATAACCCACTTAATTTCAGTTTAGATAATAATAGATTTTAATTCCTGTTTAAATAAAATTATGCAATAAGGAAAACAAGCCTGGGACGTTAACATGCAACTTACTTTACGAGGACGAATAGTTGTCATATAGTGTAGGGAAAATAATATCCATAATAATATGCATGTTAACATTACAAGATTTTTCTTGAGATTTTTAAACTCTGTTTTCGTAATAATAATTTAGTCTATGTATTGTAGTTCGAAATCGTTTTAAAAAGGAAATGTCATTAAATTTCTTGCAAAACTTTCAAAGTATAATCCACAAAGAAGAAAATTGAAGAAATGTGAATTTATGTTGCAAAATTATGATCAAAGCCTAGTAATCAAACCTATAGAAATGGCGGCATAAATGCATAAATAGCAGCATTCAAAATCCTTAAGGGAAAGGTCGATTGCGATGTTCCTGTTTGTTGTTTACAGAAACTGCTAAAAGTGTCATTTAGAAATAAATTATCACGCGTTGCTTTTAATGCGTTTGGATTTCCCGTGTGTATTTCTTCTTTCATTTTCAAAATAAATGAAATTTATGGGGAATAAAATAGTTCAAATATCATGATATCCAAAAGTTTTTTTTCCTCCCTCCCAAAGTGCATGTAAGCATGCCTCATTTATCATTCTCTTTTATTCATGAACATAAATTGCTGTGCTGTAAATATGTAATGTCACCGACATAAGTATGATTCTTTTCGTATTAATTTAGTAATGTTTGTTTAGATCTCGATCGATTCACAGTTACATCTAAAATATTCATGGAAATTCTGTCATTTTTAATAAAGCTTAAAATATAATTTTTAAAATAGGTTTTTAAATTTATGATAATTCATCTATTTTAAAAATGAATTATTTTAGTAACTGTTCCAGAAGCATTGTTAACCATCTTAGTTTCATTGCGTTTCGTAGTTAGGAAGTTTTCATCCTCTTAAGACAGCAGTAGCATTCCAATTATATATCCTGTCATTTTTAAAATTCACTTTCATAAAAGTCGCAATATTCTTCTCATTATGCTCACCAACCTAAGCTATTTCTGTCAAAGAGACATAATGAAAAATAAATGAAACAGAAGTCTGTAACACTTATTTTAGTAGATAATATCCTGGGATGAACAGCAAGTAAATTTTCAAATACCTAAACTTCGCTATTAAGGCAAAGCTAAAGATATAATTCCGGAGTTGAAGAATTGTTAGTTATAATTCAATTTTAAATAGGATAGCATAACTTCAGGAACGTGATTATGAATGATATGGTAAGAAAGAATGTAAAACATTATTATTGCAAAATTATGCAATATGCAGCAATAATGTGTGCAATAAATGTTCATTTTTGCAATTTACTGTTACATTAATTACACACTTTTGCAAAAAAATCGAATCCCCATGAAGGAAGTGGCTGTTTTCGATGAAATTGAATATGTGTATAGGTCATACACAGATAATGAAATGATTAAAAAATCAAGGTCATAGTACCTGTTCACTGCTCACAATCACCCATTGAGTGTTCAAATTAGTAGTTGGTCGAACAGCCCTTGGCGGCAATGCATGCTTCATTTCGTCGAGGCAAGGAGTAGTAGAGGCTCCTAATGCCATCCTGCGACACATTCTGCCAGGGATTCATCAATTGTAGATATGCGATATTTTGTGGTTCCCGAATCTGGTGATCTACCAGGTCTCAAACATGCTCGATTGGTGAAAGGTCTGGTGACCTTTCTGGCCAAGGAAGAGTATCAACCGCACGAAGACAGTCCAGAGATATGCACTAACAATGAAATTTTACCGATGGAGTGGTGCCCGAAGGCAAGGTGACAGAGTTTTTGAATTTGCAAAGTACTAGTTCTGTGCAATGCTTTGTAAAAGCCGGGCGGGGACTGCGGGGGTTGCGCCCGTGAGGACGAGGTCCCACGGACGACGGATATTCCAAACTCTGTATGGGTTCCGTATAATGAGAACCAGGGTCGAAGGTCCTTCGTATGGTGTCAGTCCAGAGATATGCGAGCGGTATGTGGAATATAGCCCCAGGATAAAGTGCCATGAAGGTTAATGCAACCGGCCGCAGGATGGTATCAACATATCGTTGAGCCGTTAAAGATGTACGGAAGATGACGAAAGATGATCTGCTGTCATAAGAAATAGCGCCCCACACCATCACACCAGCGGTTATGGCTGTATGCCTTTGTAAACAATGGTTGATTGAGACCACTGGTCCCATCCTCTCCAGACACGAACACGGTGGTCATTTGCTTCAAGAGCGAAGCGGGATTCATCGCTGAACACTATATTATGTCAGTCTGATGACAACCATGATGATCAGTAGCGACACCACTCCAGACGATTCCGCAGATGTTGTGGGGTCAAAGGCAAACCTCTTAAAGGCCTCTGCGAGCGTAACCCCGCCTCAGACAATCACAATGAGCTAGTGGACGGTACCACGGGAGATATAGACGTGGCTGTAGTGCGTTAAATAGTCGACAATAATACAGTTGGGGCGTTTCGGGCTTGGCGAACAATCATCCTATCTTGCCTCGCATTTGTGCTCCTTGGAATTCCAGAGCCTCTATTTTATCGGCGATTTCTTTGTAGCAACCATCGCTGCCAACATCTTTGCACAGCAGTGTCTGTACGCTGCAGGTGGCGGCCTATTGCTCGGTGTGACCACCCATCTTCACGTAATCTTATAATGCAATCACGTTCGAAGTCGTTTAGTTGTCTGTAAGGTTTTCAATATCGTCGTAATGGCATCTTTAGTTGCTTCTTTAAGGAATTACAATGGCAGCAACAAAAAAAGATAAGTTTTCCGCCTCTGTTACTGCTTTTATACTTTGCGAATTGCGCACTAGAAATATGCGCTATGATCGCACTTCCTGTTCATTTGCCTTGAAATTTTGATCATTTTCATGTTCGATCAAGATGTTTTTGCATACCAAATTTCGCCACGATCGCAAAAGCCCTTCTTGGTGCTTCGATTTTTTTGCAAAAGAGTGTATTTCATTTTAATATTAGTCTTATTCACGATATTTTACACAAACACACACAGTTTTAAAATGAAGTTCTTATCAATTAATTTGTATAGTTAAGATACCACATAAAATGCTATGCATAAAATATTTTAAAAGTGGTGAGTAACAGACGTTTCATTCTATATATGAAATTACTGCCTTTTCACTTTTGTTACTTTGTACTCTTATTTAAATATAATTTAAAAAGCAAACTGTTGACATTTTATTTTCACTAATAGTTAAATTAGTTAATCAGAAGTAAAGTGTACAGGATACATTGTAGAGACATTAGGTATTTTTTTGGAAGCAGATTAGGTAAAAAGCATGCAACGCCTTCGCCGGGAATCAAATTACGGACCTCTGGAATACGCGCCCAACGTGCAGACCACCACACAACGAAGACATGCCAAGAAAGCGGAAGAAATACCTTATAATATAACCAAGCTAATTTAAAATAAGTAAAGGATAATACATAAGACACATTAAAAACCCTTAAAGAGAATTCATGGTGCATTAAATGAAAAATGAAATCTGGTGTTGTATGGATCTAAAATATAGTTTTTTTATGACGTTAAATTTTAATACCTCAGCAGTAATTCGCATAAAAAATTATGGTAAAAGTTTGTTTGAAGTTTCAGTTTTAGTGCAAATAAAAATTCTTTGAATAATATTAAAGTAGTTCTTGTAATAAAAAGTAAGTAAATAAGCAAAACCACTATATTGTTAGAAACTATTTTGGTTAGTGTTCTCATATTGACTTTTGGTTCTCTCCTGATAATATTACCTTTACTCCTAAAACGACTTTCCTCCCAATCCTGTGTTTCCTTATCGACGAAGATATAGATTGAGTTGTAATAAAAATCGCACGTTAAAATAGAGTTAAGTTAAATTAATAATGTGCATTTCAGAGAAGGCTCTGTTTGGTTTTCATAGTAAGGATTCATTGTATACGCTGTTCATGAAGTGAAATTAATTATTAATTACGCAAAACATTTTAATTTGGCTTTTCCGTTAATTCAAAAGATTCGTTTACGAGCTGTAAGACATTCATGTACAGTTAGGAGGTTTCGTTATACTAGTAGATATACGGGAAATTTTTATTTTTCATTTACCTTTTCCTTGAATACCACATATTGCTTTAAATATGGAATTTCATTTGTGTTATCTAAAAAAGACGGAACTTAAGAGATTAATTTTCATTAGTGAGGAACCAGTTTTCTGCATTGAAAAGATATCGTTTAAATTAATTTAATTTCAAAGTTTAATGTAATTATTCTGATAACCCTCCAATTGGCCAATGAATGTTAAAAAGAAAGTTATTTAAACCGTTTGCTTACGATTATTGAATTACCGATACTTTCTACAAATATTATAAGAGAAACATTTATTAAAACTCTTAATAAATTAGCATGATAATCGAAGAACATTTAGCTTGAAACCTACTTTGAATTTTTTCACCATTTTAAGCTTTAAAAGGCTTATTCTAATTGTCTGATTATAATTCTGGAGTGTATTATTTTCTATATAAATTAATATCATTTAAGCAAAACATTAGATAAAATAACTTTATAATATTTTATAATATCGCGACCAAAAACTATTTTTGCACATTTATTACAAATAAAAACCTAATATACTTTTTAATCTTTTTATTTACAAAGTCATAAGAAATTAGATAACCTCAACAACTAGCATTTCAACTTTGTATGTTCTTTATTTCGTTTGTTTATTACTTGTAAACTGCTTATTGTTTTAACAGAAGGCTTTCAAATTTTTAGGTGTGCCATCGCGCGCTCCAACCACGAAACCAAGGATTAACCTTCAGATTCCAACTGTAAGTTCAGGGACTAAAATTAGCCTGACACAAACTCCAGAATCAACAACATCATTTCATTCTTCGTCTGGAGAACACCCATGGGCCGAAGTGCCACCTACATCCCAGCAAAGTTTCCCTAATGTTTCAGGAAGTATGGCTTCATCAGATACCATTGTGACCCAAAAAGATGGCTATTTGACAGCCTTAAGAGTTACTATCATTGTTGGCTGTTCTCTCCTTATCCTAAATCTCTGCATCTTTGCTGCTGTTTATTACCAGAGAAATGAGAATAGAGTCGATACTGAACTGAGAGAAGAAAGTTTTAAAGTAAGTCTTAATGTTATACTTAGAGATTTTTTTAATGTTATGGGTTTTATAGGACAGTCTGTTATTTATGTTATCTGGTTAGTTTGATAATACATCATATGGTATTCTTAAATTTTTAAGGAGTTATTTAAACTTTGATAACATCAAATAATGATTTCTAAAACGGTAAGTCTTGAAATATATGTGGAGATATTGTAAGCTCCAAATTTTTATTTTGTCTGTCAAAATGCCTCAGATTAAATTCAAGGAGCATTAAAGAAAAATATTGTTGGATATTAAAAGTGATAAATGAATTAATAAGTTGAATAGAAACTGCGTATATGACGCAGAAATTTAAGTTAGTTTCCAAATTCAGTATTGATAATTTTCTGCCTCGTATAGGCTTTAAATATGGTACAAAAATGACTTATTTTATATTAAAACTTAAAAAATAACGAATAATGTATGAGACTAGAATTGTAAATGTATAACGGTATGTAATAGCAGTAAACTGCCGGTCCGCAAGCCATATGCAGTCTCCGAGGCAGTTTTATGGTGAGACATTTTAATTATGTATTTTTCATAAATACGCTGTTCGGAATATTTCAAGATTTTAGTTATTTGAAGCCCGAGTTTATCCTATTTTCACTTCCATGAAAAAAAAAAAACAAGCATGAATAACCGACCAGAAAATATGTAAATCGACCTAATTAATTTACAACATATATAGTATCACTTAAATTTCTAACCAATTATGTTATGTTGTTTTTATATCTTATCACCCTAATTTGAGGCCAGAATGTAAATTTATAGCTTGCGCGATATTCAAATGAGGTAGAAAGAAGAGACTATTTAAATGAAGCTTTTACAAGGTAGAATAAGTCATTTCTATCCCTGCATCGCTACCTGAAGCAACCAAATGAAGATAGCCGGTTTACAGCTTGCAGCTTTGCAAGATCGACGCGGCGGCAACGGCGAACGAAAAGGTAGAATAAGAACTTGTTTTTTTTGCTTGAAGGGTCCTTTTCTAAGGGTCTTTTTCAGCATTTCCCTGTCTGGGTGGTACTTACAAGACATAGCAATAATTCGCTACTTGTCGTTTGCAGTTTTGGACGTAATTTAGGTTACCTAAGAAGACCGAAACTCTATAAATGCTATATCAGTCTTTTTGAAAGGTTTGAAGATGCAGATTTTATTAACTTTTATTCGTAGTTTTTAAAAAAATTTAAGTTCAAGATTTTATTAACTTTGTAGAGTCCACTTGGTTCACTCCTGTGTGAAAACTGTAAGAGGAGTAACTGCGCAGAAGAAGGGTTAAAACTACCCTTTATTAACTCTTTAAAATCTACAATGCGTCCACTCGATGCTAACAAACTACGCCTCTGCTTGGGCGGTAACTGAAATCAAAGAACTAACTAAAGATTTGAAGGTATGTACAAGTCGTCGAACTAAACTACAGGGCTCAGAATAATGCAATTAAGCCACGCGAACCAGTAATAACTCTGGGAGCAGACGCTTAAGCAGCAGAGGTGACGGCAATAGCCTAACTCTTCCTCTTTCTTACTGAACCTCGGTTTTTTAACCTCTTTCATCGAGGTAGAATTTGCATTCCTTCATGCGGGTTACTAAATTCAAATATTCTCGCATTGACAATTATGGGAATGAAGGCTTATAGGAAAGAATAGCACATTAAATAAAATTGGTTGTTTAAAATAAATATAAATCCCTACAGTTGTCCATGCCAGAATTCAGCAGACTGGAAAAAGGTCCTTAAAGACCAGTTACAAACTGTTAAATTCTACATCAAATAGGCCCTTAGCCCCGTTTAAATGCAAATCTAAAAACAAATTTTAACTTCCTAACAGAAGTAATACTTTCTTATTTTTGCTTCTGCTGACTTGCTTTCCTGTCATTCCTCATTTAATGCATTCAGTCGTGTACTTCCAGGCATCTGGAAGGATTATTTATGAGTAGAAGTTCATATTAAAAAATAAATAACACTTTGTTTTCACAATCATAAATCCTTTTGCATTTAGCCTAGTTTTCCTCAAGTTTACTCAACATTGCGGTATTTACGGGATACAGTTGCTCCCCTATATACGAACCCTATATACCACATCCGTTTATACAATATGCAAAATATTGGGCGAAAGTAAGACAAACTTAAACTGTAGTTTATTGATTCTCGGTTTTCTTTTACAATAATTTAACATCCTGACTACAAAACTAGTAGCTGATCCTTGCACTACTCAAATGCATTCTTCATTTTCCTTTTACTTCTGTTTTACTAATCTTATCTAAAATTTTTTGCCTCTTAATCTTCTGATTCCTCACTGCATTCACAATGCCTTGTTTTAATTAAATGTATTACCTCGCTCCTTCTTACTTTTCAGCAATCTCTCTACTTAAAGTTTTAAAAATCACAAGAGGTTTCGAGACAAATTTGAAGTGATTTTGCAAGAAAAATATACTGTCATTTCTTCTTTGGTGAAACAAACTAACTAATTTGTTCCCATAATTAAAGATAGACTGTAACTGTATACTTTACCAGTACGCAGCAGTGATCTTTCTGTTTATGAAACCACTGAACAACACATTTCTTAATATTTTTAACTCATGATGTTACAGATTTTCCTTATTATACACTGATGACAATAAAAGTACTACACTATGAAGAAAAGTAGATAACAGATCATATTTCTTTTAATCATATTTTGTTTTACATGATGTCGATTTACATTACATTATATTTATTTTACAAGTACATTGAAATGAAAAGCTGAAGAGAATAAAATTTTAGGCAATTTTTACATGCAGAAGATGCAGAAATGTGTATCCCTTGTATTCACCTCCAGCAACAGTAACAAGTATTATGCGGCTGTAGCCGAACAGACATTGGAGGGCATTTTGCGATATTATAGTCCATGCAACTTCAGTACTATGAAGAGTTTATCCTTCACTGGCTGGCGAGTTTGGTTGCGCCAGACTCTTTGCAGCCATTGACCAGACGTTTCCATTTGGTGAGAGATATGAAGAACGCGCCTTCAATTACACGAGAGGGGGACAGAGGTCTTGTACTGTTAGAAGGTGAGTTGACGGAGGATCCGAAACATGTGACAAAATCACCTATAACAAAACCTCAGAAATGTAACAGTGTAGAGACATCAGGTATTTTTGGAAGGAGGCAAGATGAAAAATGAGCAATCGCCTTCGCCGGGAATCGAACCACGGACCTCTGGAATGCCGGCCAAGCGTGCAGAACCCAATCGCCAAATCCTGGGTGTGAGAGTCATCATCCAGGATTTGGCGATTGGGTCCCACACCCTTTTAGTTCATCATCCACACCCTTTTAGTTCGGGCACCACTATAGAGACATTAGGTATTTTTGGAAGCAGGCAAGATGAAAATAGAGCAATCACCTTCGCCGGGAATCGAACCAAGGACCTCCGGAATACCGGCCCAGCGTGCAGAATCACTACACCATGTAGGCACGCTAAGAAGACGGGAGAAATACTTTATAACAGTAGAGCTAAAAGTGAAAGATGCACCAGTCCATTTCCAATTGGCCACCAGGTAACGCCCCTATCCTCTAACCATCTTGAGCACCCAAAGGCTGATCTGCTTTCTAATACGCGCTTACAATATTACTTGGCAGATTCGTCTAATTAATTCGTTCTTTCTTGTATAGTAATACATAAAATTTAGTCTTAAAACAATACAGTCTTAAATGCAGTCCTCATTTTGGTCCGAAATATTAACATAATACAAATATTTTTAATAAATAATACGATCTTAATGTAATTAATTAAAATAAAATACTTCAATAAATACTGTCCTAAAATATATTCATTTAAGAACTATTGTAGCAAGCTGAAGAGGCTATTAGTAATAGTAGTAAAATGTTTTTCTATGTTACTTAACTCATATAACAGTAGCTTGCTCATAGAGCAATAGCTGCTCAAATTACAAAACAATGCAGGTTTAATAGGTGTATACCAAACGCCACCTAATGTCATCAGTCCAGGTAACAGGTAATGAGCCGGTATGACGATGATGAATGCGAGCCTACAACATAGACTGCTTTTGCATTACATCCACACATGGATAAAACCTTCATGATGCTCTAAGTAAAAGCGAGACTCGTTAGAAAATTCGATGAAGGTGTGCCACTGATGCTTCCATAGGCGTCGTTAAACGCATTATTGTTGATAGTCTATGACGCCGCGGATATTGCGCACCATACATGATGATACTTAGTACTGTGAATTGCGCTTAGTTTTTTAACCTAGTTACATGAAGGTTCATTAACCATCCCTAACAACGATGCTGACAAGATTTCAATCTTCTCGGACATTGGTGAATGGGGCCTCTGAGATGCAAAAGGGACATAAAGAGATGTTGCTCTGTATGTCTGTTTTGCACCCATTTACTGCAGAGTTTTGTAGTAGTCATTGGATGTCAACCGAAGAGACTGCATTTTTCTGCATAATTCAATAATTCACAGTACTTGTAGGCTTCGATTATGCCGCAATCAAATTCTCAGAAGTAAATGCTTTTTCCTTTTCCTTATACAGGACATAATTGCATTTGAAATCCAAAAGCAATGAATAAATGCGATTTCCGAATGCAAAATTGGCATTTTAATCTTTTTATATACTCTTTGTAGGTGCTCAAAATTAGTAAAGGAAGAACCTTGCGTTTGGCGTAGATTTAGACACACACACACACAAAAACAAAACAAAAAAAAAAAAAAAAAAAAAACTCAATCGGTTTTGAGGACAAATAGGTCTTATTTCATCAGGAGCAAAGAAATTTGTAAGACTGAAATTTTTCTAGGATTTTTTACTACTTTTGTCTGCTTATGCAGTAAAATACTAAACATTTCTATATCGTAGCATGCTCTTCTTCACATGCAAGTTTCAGGTTTATTATAACTCTTCTTTCATGGGGCAGCAATTTTAATGATCCACAGTGGATATCTGATTTGACTAAGGCTGCTTAAGTGGGGATTTTATTTGAAGGAAATTTGCTTGAAAATCGTATTTATTTTTATTCTAATTAATTGATTATTTTTTATTAGGCAGGTAATTTATATACAATTAATAAAT